CCCCCCCAATAGTCTTAGTTAGACCAGTGCAAACTGATAAAATGTATTGACCTAGACTAGACTATGATATGATCAGCAGAACAATTCTTCCTATGGAAAGAGTAACTAAATACGTCTTCCAACTAAACTAGAGTTGAGTATTATATATTATAATGCGAATTGAAAATAATTACATCTATTACAAATGTGCAAACTATAAAACAATTGTTTAAAAGTATTTCCATAACTAGTTTTGTCCTTTTCATGCAAACATGGGGTCCTAACTGGTTCTTTGTCACATAAACTATTTAAACGGTATGTTATTATGAAAACACACAGCATCAGCAGCCTGCAGTTTATATATTTCACCACGAAGTGTCAGACTTTAGCAGCTCACCTCAGTGCGCAGAGGAAACACTAAAACCAAAACAGGAATGAATGCTTTCCAAAATAAAACCCTGTCCAAGATGCGTCAGGGAGGTTTACATCAGAACAGGAGGCTTTTATTTTTTAGGAGCCATTGCTTAACCAGAAGTCTTATTTTGTAGTGTTGTACTTCAGCTTGACGCATCTTTTCATGGCAATATTTAGAGGCTTATCCACGCGTCACACACCATCACTCGTGTTTGTCTGTGTGTGTGTTATTACACGAGGACAGCTGCTACGCACTTGGAGACACGATGTGACATTTGGCCACGCGTAATTTTGCGCATTTGGAGAGCTGTGCGCACCGTGCATGCACCGCTTTGCATGCGATGTTTTGACTGTGTTTTGACCTGTTGGAGTGAGTCCAAGGATGCTGCGGCTTATCTGGCTGCTGGAGTGCCGCCGCGCAACACGGGGCTGCAACATCCCCATGTGCTGAGCAGGAGAGGCGCGGATCAGGCGCGTTGTCACACCTTGTGGTCTGGTCGCACTATGGATCACTCCCGGGACATTTGAGCATCTCCTGCGTGTCCTTCCCAGGCTGCACCATGGGGAACAGCTTCACTAACCTGGGTGCCTTCCAGTCTTTGCACATAGTCATGCTCGGTTTGGACTCTGCGGGGAAAACCACCGTGCTGTACCGGCTCAAATTCAACGAGTTCGTCAACACGGTGCCCACCATCGGCTTCAACACGGAGAAGATCCGGCTGGGAGGAGCGGGGGCCTCCCGGGGCATCAGCTGCCACTTCTGGGACGTGGGTGGCCAGGAGAAGCTGCGGCCCCTGTGGAAGCCGTACAGCCGCTGCACGGACGGCATCGTGTACGTGGTGGACTCGGTGGACGCGGAGCGGCTGGAGGAGGCCCGCACCGAGCTGCACAAGATCACGCGTTCAGTGGAGAACCAGGGCACCCCGCTGCTGGTCATCGCCAACAAGCAGGACCTTCCCCGGGCTCTGGATGTGGGGGAGATCGAGAAGCAGCTGGCCCTCTCAGAGCTCCCCCCCTCCACCCCCTTCCACGTCCAGCCGTCCTGCGCCATCATCGGCGAGGGGCTGGAGGAGGGCATGGATAAACTGTACGAGATGATCGTGAAGAGGAGGAAGTCACTGAAGCAGAAGAAGAAGAGGCCGTGATGGCGTAGACATATATAGAACTTTGCAGAAATATAAATACAGCTCCAGTTAAAATGAAGTGACCACTGCAACTGGTTTGACTATTTATAGGAATCTATTTGAGTAAATTAACATTTTTGTTTTATTCTCTAAACTTCTGACAACATTTCTCCCAAATTCTACCTTTTGCTTTAACGTCAAATACAGTTATGTTTACAATTAATATAAGTATGTTTCTATAAATCTATATTTATTTATCTTTTATTTTATTTATGCAATTTGGCATCATTGCATTCATTTATTTTTGCAAATTGAATGACTAGTTTTGGAAATGTGGGAGAGATGTCAGTAGTTTAGAGAATAAAACAAAAACGTTAATTTAACTCAACTCTATACCTATACAGTAGATAGCAAAAAGTGGTTTCTTAATTGTTTTCACAGCTTTACAGCAGATAAAAAAACAAAATGAAGCATAAATATCATCATAGCCTCCATATATGACATAAATATATTGATATAGTGATGCTAAAACATATTGTCACTCATTAGGATATATGATTGTATATGAATGTTTTAGAGGGACATAAGGAAAGAGCGCCGTCTTAACTCCATTTACCAACATTTCAATGGACAGAAAACAACTTAATCATAAATACGACGAGTGACAGAAACACACAAAAAAGTGATTATAAATGTAATCTTCTTGCCTTGTTGAACAGTTTGAACCTTTCCTTACAGGCAGATAGTGTCTCTAAGTCCCTGATGTAGAAATATACAAATAAGACTGTTTTATTAGGGATACTTTATAGATAATATAAAGAGTTGTTAATGTGATGCTGAGAGATGGTGTTGCACCAAAGAAGAATCCCAGAGAAGACAGACCTCTTCCATACATCCTCCACTTGTATTTGTTTCTGTCTGACTTTGACTGTTTCCCTCAGTCCATAACAAGCGTTTTATATTTTACATGAGCATTTAACTCTTTTATTTTAGCAGTAACACTTCATTTCTTCCAAGAAAAGTAACAACTAGTCACATAATCTGAATTTGCTGCACCATCAATTAATGCTAACTAATCTCCAGATGCAGTTTGCTGCCAAGTACTTGCAGAGAGCTCATCCAGTGGCCATCAAAAAAAGCTTGATTTGTTGCAAATGTATATACAGGGATATGGAAACCCAGATTAATGTAGCTATATGGGCAGAAGATTCTCATTTGTACGGTTTCCAACAGGTGCAAGCGCATTTGAACAGTCCTTACATTAGGAGAAACACACTGCAGCTTCAGAAGAGATGCAAATAGAAAAACACAAAAGTGCCAAAGTACATGCAAATGAGGAAACATCTTCTGCAACTTGACAAAACATGCGCAGCGTTTACTAAAAGCGCCGCATATAAACACTAAAAAGTGACGCACACAGCTGGGAGTGGAGCGCTTGTTGATGTTCTGGGATTATAATGTCGTCTAACTATCACTGTTAGCAGAGTTAGTCAGTTAGTTAGTTAGTTAGTTAGCTAGCTAGCTTACAGCAGCTATTATATCTGAAGGACATTGTTAAAATAAGACCATAACATTTTTTACAACAGTGACAGCTGGGCAGCTTTAGCATCTCCGAACCTCAACACAACACGGTCCCAGCTGTGTGCGTCACTTTTGAGCGCAATGTTTTGTTTATGCAGCGCTTTTAGTAAACGCTGTTCATGTGTTGTCAGGTTGGCGAAGATATTTCTCCATTTGGATGTGTTTTGGCACTTTTTGTTTTTTGTATTTGCATCGTTTCTGACACTGCAGCACGTTCCTCCTAGTGTAAATGTTTTGTATTGTAACACGTTTGCACCGGTCTGCCATCGTACATGTGAGCCAAAAATGCAGGTGTAAAGATTATTGCCATGGCTGGGAAGTGTCTTTTTATTCTTGTTTAAATTACCATTTTATCTCATGATAAGCTTCTGAACAAATGGACTTGAAATGCAAACTATGATTGTGCATTGTAAGTGTTTCACATGAGAAGAAATCACAGTGTAGTCGTTATTTTATCAGAAGGATCAAAGTGTCTTCCTGTAACGATGAAACAAAGCGACAGGCTGGAACCTGTTCTCTTATTGAATGATATTCAATCATAAAGTGGTCTTCCAGTTGAGTTATAAACTAGTTTTAAAGTTAAATGAGTACCTGTAATTCAGTCCACAACCCTGATAATGTTGCAGCTTGCAGAAAAGATAAAGAAATGTCACAGAAAATAGAATTAGTCTTGACAGGACTGTTGAATGTCTCAGATGGAGTCATTTCTAAAGCCGTGTTCACGTCAGAATAAAAAGAGGAATTGCTGCAGCTCCATTTTCACAAAATCATATGGATTTTAAGTGATAAACTGCAGCATGTTTTTAGGTTAATTTGGTCATTTAGTATTTAAGAATGCTGAAAAAATGCCCACTTATAATAACCACAAGGGGCAAGATATTTCATTTATTTTAAATATGATATTCCCGATATGAATCCGACGTGAACGTAGCATCTTTTTCTCTGAAGTAATCGAGCTGTTTTCAACATTGCATGACACACAATGTAAATTATACAGTACAGTGTTACAGCTAAGATACAGCAAGACCAAACAATGTGCCAAAAATGGAAAAAAGTAAAAATATTTTTGGGATTAAAGTCTTTGTAATTTAACGTGTGTGTGTCTGGCGCGTGTTTTATTATTCTAAAGCTTCAGGGCGGGAATTTCCCAACAGATAAGTGCCAGTTGTGTGTACTGTTGTAAGTTATTATTAAACATTATCTAGTGGGAATGCTGATTCAGCATTCCAACTATCTGTTATGCTACGCACAAAATTCTTTATTATTCCGCCGGGTTATTTTGCACCTCTTCTTCTCCCACATTCCACATCGCAGAAACTCCGTTCAAACATCAAAACGTTCAGCTCGGTCGGGAATTGAGTGCTATTACTTTTCTCATTCATAACTTTCATAATTCCAGAGATACGTACATCCCATAATTCATCCCATTTTTAACGTGGAACTCAATGGAGAAACTCTTCAGACTTGAACAATCTTCATGCAACTTCAACTGCTAACTGCTCCTTCATACTTTCACTCAGAAACCTCATTCCAGCTTTAAAACGTTACACATCTTTTTGATATTATTCGTGTAACACAACTTTTAAATCTGATTCATACTTTTAGAGATATTAAACATTGTTCAGACCTTGGTAAAGAGGCCTTCTTCAGATTTAGAGTGCGTGATGTCACAGCTAGAGTGGAGGACAGATTTAATTTTGCCTTCATATTTTCTTTTAAACCTGCCATAATTCCCAAACCCTACATTCCTGAGACATAATCTTTCATGAGAAACGTAGGAAAACATCTCCTAGCTTGAAAAATAAAAAACTTTAAACTCCATTGTAAATTCAGCCTCACCTTTCCCCACCACAGCAGCTGCACACCTTTAGTTAATCTGCCCAAAAGGCCACATTATTAACCCCGAAAGTACACAAAAAGCACACTTCAGATGCTCAAGTTCCTTGACATGCTTCACGCTTTGAAATTTCACCGATATCTGTTACGGTTCTTCAACAAAACGTTCAGATGTAAGAGGTTTATGTATCATTCAGAACAATGAAAATGCTCTCCTCTCACTGATCACCATGGAAACCTTTGATCTCTGGACACGTCGTT